TTTTTATGGAAAAATATGGAACGCTTCACAAATTTGCGTGTCATCTTTGCGCAGGGGCCATGCTAATCTTCTCCTTATCGTTCCAATTTTAGTATATGTGCTGCCGAACAGAGCACGGTCTTACTCCTTTTATATGACGTTACAGAAGGCAAAACAAATCTGGAACTTTTTTAAAGGTCGGAACAGTGATTGCCTGGAGACGGGGCAGGCAGGAAGGGTTCTAAGGGAACTTTCTTGGGGGATGAAACGTTGTCTATTTTGACAGAACTTTGAATTACACAGGTGTGTGCACTTGTCAAAATTCAGAAGAGTACGCTTAAGATTTGTACATTTCAGTCTTTTGTAATTTATTCAAAAAGAAAAAGAACTAAATAAATTCAGAACTACCATCATTGATATGCTGCTGAAATGTTTCTAGGTAAAGCATACCGATGTCTGCAACTGACATTGAAATTCATCAAAATATAAGATGAATTGATGGGTGGACAGATGACTAGATATATGCGTAAAACAGACACGGAAACATGTTGACAGCTGACTCTTGAACAGTGCCGGGGTTGGGCTCAATCAACACAGGAGGGCAGATAGGATGGAGGTCTGGACATCTGTACTTTTTAAATGCTCTCCTGGTGAGTTTCGAATTTGTCACATAAGTAGACCTTAAACTTTTAAAGTGAAAGAAATCTTCAAAGAGACTGCAAAGAAAATATAATTTTTCTTTAAAGAATGCTGTTTAGGGTAAAGCTTCTTAGGGTTTGTGGGTATCTTTTCCTTCCAGCTCTTAGAACTAGATACCAAAGTGTGATAAGTCGATGAGTTCACATTAAAATAGAACAAACTCCAGTTTTAGATTCCCAGAATTAATAAGATCTCATTAACAGAAATTATTTTTAATACTACAGAAACTGACATCCGTGGGAACGCTACTAGTTTTGTAACAGGGAAGAACAAGTCCGACTCCATAGTGGGTCTGTTTAACTTTTGTGTTCTATTGCTTTTGCTGCAAGTCAATCACTCAAGAGATGTCGCCTGTAAGCTTCAATTATACATAATGGCCCATCTCTAGGAACCTTGCCTCCCAGGTAATGAGCAGTAAGCTAAAACACCTTGGATTTGCTCGCAGGAAACACCCCGACCAGGCCCACCTGGGAATGGCTA